GATCTTTTTGAGAAACCTATTGATCAGCGAACCAGCACGTATTTACACGCTTCGCGGAGCTATTCGTAAACCCATTAGAGGTATAATTGGACTTGAATTACCCCACTGTCCATTTATTCTGCTTAATGAGTAATTAATACCATTTTTGCCTCGCTGACGTCTTTTTATTACCATCATAAATAGCCATCGGTTGCCTAAAATGAGTCCTAATTCACGTGAATAAATACTCGACCGCCATTGCAGTGTCTGGTAAAACGGCCAAACATGGGACGAACACAGGTAGTTCGTACAGATGGCAAGGGAGAATAACGATTACGCTTCTATTCGCCATGAAATTCCATCTAAAGCCTACGCAGGTAGCTGCCCGATGATGACAAACACCGCCGGACAAAGAAAAATGCGAATCTCCGATAATGGCCGTAAAGCACTCAGAAACATTTTAAGTTAAGCAACAAGCTAGCAATCGCAAATTTCAGATTCACTGTCAGAATAAATAGTGTAAGACGTGAACATGCGTGACCACGATATATTACTCTTGAATCAAATGAGGAATTGGGTGTGGAGAAGACGCATGGACAGGGGTGGACACTTTTTTAAGTTCTACAGGAACGGAAAAAAGAAAATGTGATAATACGTGGGACGAGAACAAGGCGATAAAATCTTTTGACTTTTATGAATCGCATACCCGTATGAAGTGATCAATTCCAACAAAAACAATAGACACTAATTCGCGCCGCCGCTTTTCGAGTGTCATAAAATGTAGGTGACGCAGTAAAACACGGATCAGCAAATGCAGTGACTCCTGATCAATTTTAGTTAGATGTGCAATGGAAACTGTTTATCCATTGTCAATGTTTAGTGATGATCAACACTTTGTACCTTTTACACCAACTTAACGGTAGTTAGGGCAAATAGCCACGGTTTTTACGAAACGTGCGCGGTTGGGGTCAAGTCCGTGAGATCTATCTCAAGGAAAAAGGCAAGTTGCCCACATCCTTAGACAAAATACTAAATTGTTAACACTGTTTTCTTTACAAGTATTTCTTTTGATCGAGAGTGATGCAAGAGAATATGTGGGTGTTACGCCACCATGTGATTTCTGAAGTTCGCAGGACGACTTGAAAGTAGGTATACAGACGGCATAAAAGTCGTCCAAATTCAAAACTCCGGAGTATTTTCGTTTAATAAATTTCGTCAGATTTAAAAATCCGCGTCGAGCACCACAAATGTTGACAAAATTTCAAAGTTACTCGCTGGCTATTCGCAAATGGATGACAAGCAACGAACGATAATAGACAGTGGGGTATTTGAACCGCCTAGAAGGTTAAAGCTAAAGAACGGACGAGAAAAAAAACAGCGTTTTGTAAAGTCGCGCTTGAGGTGCATTAAACGGACTCACGAAATAGTTCGCATCAAGGCGATAATTTCATTAGATTTTTTGGATTCATTTTCAAGTATGCAACTGACAAAACCCGTACCTACATAGCGGAAGCTAATGTACACTACCCACCGTAGATATCAGTAGTCTTTTGATTAAATTACTCGTTTTGAGTCCGGATATTGCTTTAGCCGCCTCATAGAATGGGCTAATCCATGTCAAGACGATCTCGCCAGGCATTTCGCTTAGTTGTCTGATAAATCTGAGCGAAAAACAGACCTGATGAACACCGCACTCGCTTTCCCTAGGCATCTATTACGATATGGAGTTGGCTTTAAAAGAGGTCTATGTACATACTTCTGTCCCTTGTTTTTCATGAGCACACAAAATATAAAAATGCATATACTTTATGCCAACCTGCGGAATATTTTTTTAATTTTCATAGCTGTACATTTGTCATCAGCAAGTGGTTTACATCGGCAATTTATCTGCAATTCATTTTCTGCTACCTTGCAATACACCAGAATGTAAAAATGGGCTTTTAGTTCATGCTCTTTTATCCAGAATCTAATACGGAATATTCACAGTTTTGATTTTCACGTTCTTATCCTACTTTAACCATATCCTCCATTGTAATTAATTTTGAATATGTTGACTTGCGTGGATGTTGATCTAGAGTTTTCCCTCTGATTTGAGGTGTCAGTATCCAAAAATCTTAATATCAATCCAGGGACATTTGCTCATTGGCGGCTTGCAATATTAGAAATTATAAATCCGAAATGCCTATTCTTTGAGGCTAAAACTTTACAGAGATCACGGGGAGAACTTGCTTAATAAAGGCGAATTAAAAGCAAGGTGATGTTCTTGTTTCGAAACGTTAAACTTACCATAACATTGTTAGCTCGATACAGCGACAAAGGAGTCTGTATAATACGACATCCATAGCCTAAATATGGTAAAATCAACGGACCGTTAGATGCACTGCTTAAATTATCAGTTACCACTCAAATACTGACGGGAAAGCTGCATCAAAGCCGATTGAGCCGCTCTCCTGAAATGATTCGCTGGGTGGCCCGATGTACGTGATTAAATCGTTCCCAAAATACGCATCGGAATCAGTGATATCGCAATCATTTCTCTGACCATCAGCCGCGGCAAATTGAAGCGTCCTCGCATACCTGGCTTCTTTATCCGAGTTTACTTTAGACCTTTTCTAACCTGATGAATCTTCGAATCACTGGAGAATTCTCCATTCAACCGCGTTCATATTGGATTCAAAGTCGTTGGTGGTAAACGGCCTCTCCCGAAGCCTCGCCTGAGTTATTTAAAAATTAATGGAGGCCATTACTGCGAGTGCATTTGCACTTTCCTAAAGGAACGTACACTTTTGTCAACGTGGGGTTTCATGTTAGTCGGTCAGGCCGAACTTCCTGCACATAATCTCTTAAGAAAGTCCATCTTTATAAGGCTCCATCCTTATGAATAAAAGTCTAAGTTCTACGGATAAGCAAGTTTTATCAACTCATGCAAATCAAATTCCTAAAAAGAATGCGCAAGGACGAGCGAGTTCTGTAGCGTGATCGGCGTAGGACTTCTAACCGATAGGTCGCGGAATTGAACCCTGAGTTGTAGAAATCTCAAAAAATTTTCCTGTGCGAGTAAAGAACGACAGAAAGGGACCTCAGAAAACGAAGAGGCGTATCGATGCATCCCGGAAAGACCGAGAAGATCAGATTGCCAGTTTGGGAGAGCAGAGTCCACGCATGATGCAAACAAACGTCTCACCGCTAAAGGAGGGTGTCGCATGACCAACAAGACTCTGTAGGCGAGTGACCCTGCTGTAGCCATGCCATGACAGCGGTCGCCGAGCAATGATGAAAACAGAAATTGGCGCCATGTAGACTCCGCACATAAAAAATAGGCGTCAGGCCGCTTAACGTGGTAATAATAATAATAATAGTATTTTTTCAAGACTCATGGGGGTCCTATCATAGTAAGTGTATAGTAAGTGTGTCCTGATAAAAGGTATGCCTGCGTCTGCTTCGGACATTCCAAGGAACAGAATAAACCATGGCATGGAATTATTCCAGGAAAACCTCAAATCCCGTTGTTGACAAAACGAGAACGTGAACGTTTTGAAACCTTTCAGATTAGAAAAAATTAAGGATTCAAAGGATGAATCGGATCAACACAGACCATAAAAAATTTTCTCCAAAATGAGGAACAAACGCTGCCACTGCTGCAGAGGAAGCCAACACTCCGAGATGCCCACCTTACAATTTTTTCAACAGGATTTCTCAACGGCAGAACGTGAGAAGTCGAAGGGATACAAAACTGAATTCCTCATAAGACCCACCTCCGGCAGAAAAATCTTAATTACTGAATGGGGAAATCGCAAATGCCCGAAGCTCATTCATATGGAGCCAGCCAATAACACCGAGTATAGTGCACTACCGGATTATAAAAAAGAACTATCCTATCTGCCAAATCAACCAGTAAAAATGGTGGTCAACACACAGAAATCCAGCTCGATTATATAGCAATAGACTCGGGGGATGATAGACTGGATACGCCACACGAAAAACCCAGCAACTTAGACCCAAAAATTGTGTGGAAATCTATCTGGCCTAAACTCCGCTCTCTTCATACATATGCGCAGGGATTTTATAGAAGCTAGATAAGCTGAAAGATTGGGAATCAAATAGGCAACCAGATACCATTTATATCACAGGGACTTGGATGCGGGCCGAAGTCTTGGATGCTGGAATTGCTCTCGGTGGATATTAACTTTTTCGCCAAGACAGGTTGCATTAAAATGAGGAGGGCTAGCTATCTACGGCAGGTGGGGAATCATCGCGTCAGAACATAACACTGATTGCCCGCTGACTGTAAGGCAATTTAGTCAAGACAAAAGATACGTGACTCACCTAATCTGAATTTCATGTCCGTATCCAGACCGCCCAGTCAATTTTCAGGTGACAAGACGATGTATGGGTTACTTAAAGAGATGACCCCAAAACCAAGAGACGCTGATAGCCGGAGACTCCAACGCACCGATGGTCGAATGGAACAATTTATTAGTAAACGGTTTACGTAACTCGTTTGACTTCAGACTCTTAAAAGTAACAACTACTCTCATCATCGTAGAGAATGTCGAGTTCCCAATTAGAATCAGAGAGGTCCAAAAGGCCAATTTTCTGTACCTCGTCTTTACGGGACACCCAATTATTGCTGGCGTACTTAGGTCTATAGCGGCTTCCCGTGAGGGAGATCACGTCTTGCTGCTTTGAGAATGCCGCTGATACAGCGAACAAACGGGACAACTGACCTTCGGCTGACTTTCTATCGATGAAGTTTTGCTGCTATGAGAAGTGAATTATCTTAATAACCTGAACTACTAACTGGAACACTTTCAAAGGTGTTACAAGCGACGTCATGCATCGAAACTGTCCGGCAGAGTGTCCAAAGGACAAAACATCTTCTCTGGTTAACGTGATCTATAAAAAAAGTCGACAAACTGGGAGACCACACTTTGGAAAGAGTATGGAACAACAAGAAAACCTTCGCATTATGATATTTTCGCCAAACACGAGACAAAATAAGGTTGAATACCCGCGGGTCGATGAAGGAGTATGGAACAAGAGCTATGGAAGTGACAGATGGCACGCCAAAAGTACTCTTCAGCTACATCAACAGCAGACTGAAGAACAAGGAGACGGTCTCAGGGTTGAAAGGAGAAAGCAATGAGTACGTTACTGAAAATGACGATAAGGCAGGACACGTGAGACGGTTTCTCGCATCTGTTTCTACCGATAAGACGAACTTTGACCAGACTGAATTGCCTAATCGAACAGACAATACAATAATTAAAAGCGTTGACTTCATAGAAAAAGGTGTGAAGAAAAGCACTCTTGTGCTTATGGAGCGTAAGTCTACGGGTCCGAACCACGTGCCCGTAAAGTTCCTGAAGGAGCAGTCTTGCAAACTCGCCAGACCGCTTTCACATATTTCCCAGTCGTCCTTTGACCGAGGCATTCTCCTCTCTGATTGAAAGGTGACGAATATATACCTAGAGCAAGCGGAAACAATTATCGGCCGGTGAGCCAAACGTGCATTTGTGGCAAAGTCATGGGCAGAATAGTCAAGAACGTCGTTAAGGAATTCCTTTAAGGAATGGATTTCTTTAATGGTGACCAAAATGTCTTTCGAGCAATTCACTCCTGTCTAACAAATATGCCCCATCCAATAGAGCAATGGTACCGCTCGTTATACGAAGGAAAAAGAGTATATTTCATTTACATCGACTTCAAGAAAGCCTTTGATATTGTTTCACACGGCCGGTCACTCTACAAAGTTCAAGGGCCGAGGATAAAGTGGAACCTGTTGAATTGTGTAGATGACTTCTTGAACGGCTGACCGCAGTCTGTGTGCACTGACAGTGCGGAATCAACGCCACTGCTAATTCCGAGTGGAATGTCTCAGGGCTATAAGCACGGACTAGTTCTGTTTTGTCAATGACTGTAAGGATGGACCGGACTGCAAACGCGTCATTTTTGCTGGTGACATCAGGTTGTGGCGAGTAATCGACTGCGATAATGTTGAACAAACCCTACACGGAAAACTTAACCGTCTAAGCGAATGGTCCGACAAATGGCTACTGAGGCGTAAAATTGAAAGTTGCGCTGCACTGCAACTTAAAACCAAAAAGAGTACGCATGGAGAAATTCACCAATACCTCCTTGTCGAAGGATGCTTTTGAAATGAAACCGAACAAAAAGACCTTGCAATCAACATTTTGTGGTCCTTCAAGCCCCCCTCTCAATGCGTAAGGGCGGCCGTAATGTCAAAGAGTGTTGTCGTCGCTATAAGGAGGCTTTTCATAAATGCAGATAAGGAGCTATTTGTAAAAGTACACGTAGCCTTCGTTTGTTTGCAGATAGATTATATAATCCAAGCGTGGCGCCCCTGGCTGAAAAAGACTAATTTTCTAAAACAGTTCAGAGGAGGAAGACCGAAATTTTGAAAGGCCTCAAGTCCTTACCATGCAGCTGTAGACTTTTTAGCTTAACCTGTTTCCTCGTGGGTACAAGTAGATCCGAGGAGATCTCATACAGACCTACCGGATTGTGGGGAATTAGCACTGTGCCCAGCAGTTCGATGATTTCCTAGCCTTGGCCGGAACAACCAACCTGCGTGGGAACTCCCGCACACTTGGATGCATGAATGAAAAAATCGAGAAAGCAACATTTCTGATGAGGGGTCCTAGGAAGCGATACTACACACAAAAGAAGTAGATGTGAGCGGAGACGGAAATTTAATGGCGGCGTCCTAAATTCCCGGGGCCCTTTCTTGGTGTCATAGAGAAAATTTTCCGGGGAAGGATGAGGAAAATAAAAGTTTAATCGAGTCCGTTTTCAGATAAGGGCATAAACTTCTCTTAAAGTGTCTAATTTATCTGAAGATGTTATATTTATTAGAAGGTTATTCCAGAGGAAAGTATACCTGGAAGCGAAAAAAAGAGAGCGCTTGGAGGTGGAGGCAACTGGGGAAGCTATAATCAAGGAAGAGTTGCGAAAATTTTATGATCGACTACTGGGGGTTAGTGTTATAATTCGAACAAGATTTGAGCTATTATTAATGCGAAAGAGGAGACAGAAGCCTGCTTTCGGTCTTTGAACCCATAAGTATATTAGGTTAGTTAGCTGACATCCCCCTGAGTAAGATATATTTGGATAATCCGTACCTAAGGGTCCCTGGTAAGGTGTCTTTGAGCATTTTCAATTTTTGAACGACTAGCCTTGTTTATCAAACCAATGAATGGGCAACAATACTTGAGAATGGGAAGTATAAACATGCGATAAAATCTTAATTTAGTTTGAGAAAGAGAGAATCGTAAGAAATATAGCTACAAACCTGAGCAGCTTTAGCCGTAATTCTGTTGGCGTGTGGAGAGAGATCAAAATTATTAGTGTAACTTAAAACTAAATCCTTGGTGGTGGTACAGTCAGTCATAGTTGTAGATAGATAGATAGATAATTTTTATTAAAGACCCGTCGGGGTCCCATCAAAGCAAGTTAAAATAAATTTACATGCGTGTTTTAGACGAGGTAGGCCGAATCTTTACGAAATACAATTCATAGTTTCTGAATTAGAGGACCATTGAGAAACATGATGATTAAGGGGTGAAAAAAAACTCCTTACAAAAAGTTAAAAATGATTGGATTAATTTTACAGGAGAAAAAACCCCTCAATAAAAATAATGACAGAAAAAAGCGAACTGGACTGGTCTGTAGGTGGCGGTATGTAACGGAATGTTGTCGGTCATCGTCAGGGTAGCAATAAATGTCAACCTTGATGGGTACGAATGTGGGTCAGACAGGACTGGCTTGCATATGGCATTGTATACGGGATTCACAATTGAGATCGTCCGGGCCGGATTGATACGCCGCGTCAAAGAGGCCAGACGAGAGGAACCCAGATGCGATCGGCCACAGCACGCTTTGAGCTCAGCCGAGCAGTGGGGAAGGGAGGTACGACCGAACTACTAGTAGACGGTGAATACTGAGGGTTCCGCCGTGAGCGTCGACAGACCGCATGAGGTCGGAATGCGGGAGATGACATCAAAAACCGCGAAAATTGTCGCTATGGAGGGAATGATAGCAGTGGATTTAGAAACCAATTCAAAACAGGGGTTTCTAATGATATACTTAAGAGTTACCACTTAATCTACCACTAAATCCCAGGAGGACCCTTCTCGAAGTCAAGAATATGAGCGTTCGGGAATGAGACCGTTAACAGTGCCTTTATGCTTGCCGGTGTAAGGTGGTTGCGCAATTTCGACTTCGATACCAGTAACTTAGGCGATAATCTAATTTCAGGCGGAAGATTATTCCAAAGGAAGGCATATTTGGAAGCAAAAAAGAGGGAGCGCTTAGATGTAGTACAAAGAGGCGGCGGAATCACTATGCAGGAGTTGCGCGTGGCATAAGACCGATATCTCGGAGTGAGAGTGTCAATGAGCGGAAGACTGGAGCTAGAGTTGATGCGAAAAATGAAGCAAAGGCCGGCTTCGAGTCTTCTAACCCACAAAAACTTAATGTTCGCCAGCTGACATCTCTGAGTATAAGAAATACTGGACGAAGCTTGAGAGAACAGTTTCCGGGTGAAAACCCTCTGAACATTTTCGATTTTATTACGGTCACAGGCGTTCATTAAACAGAAGAAAGGACAGCAGTATTCGAGGACTGGTAGAACAAACATTTGATAATCTCTTAGCTTCATTTCCGGAAGGAAAAAATTATGCGATATGAATCCACATATCTGCGCGGCTTCGGCAGAGATTCTATCTGCATGAGGTGATAAAGCAAGTTTATTTGTATAATTTAGACGTAGGTTTTTTATGATGAGGCATTCTGAGAGTGGGTTATTCTGAAAAATTATGGGACCAGGAAGTTTGGTAGGACCAAAAGACATGAAACTACACTTGGATGATGAAAACTCCATCTGCCATGTCGAACCCCATCTGCTTAAGCGTAATAAATCGGCATTAATTTTTTCAACACAAACATTTGCGGTGTCCTTAGAGTATGAGTAACCACACTTGAGGTCATCGGCATAAGTAAAAGTTTGCGAATTTCCGAGTTCAGTCGAAATATCATTGATGTACAGAAGGAAGTGTAACGGACCCAGAACCGCGCCTTGAAGTACGCCACTCGTGATCGAGTGAGGTGTCGAGTAGCTATTACCGATTATGACTTTCTGATATCGGTTGGACAGATAGGACCTGATGAAGTCGAGTAGAGGCGGCCGGATGCCGAGAGCTTCCAATTTTACTAAAAGACGTCTATGGGGCACCTTGTCAAAGGCTTTGCTAAGATCAAAGTAAATAACAACCACTGACTGCCGCTCATTACGAAGAGAAGTGATTAGATTAAGAAAAGCCAAGTGGCATGTTTCGCAGGATCGTTCAGGTAAAAATCCATGCTGACTAGAGCTCAGAAGCCGATTAGCTAGACAGAAGTCAAGAATTTCATTGAAAATAATCCTTTCAAGAAGTTTTGCTAGAGACGGCGTTTTGTGCACGCCCCGATAGTTATTAACATCGGACCGAGATCCTGACTTGAAAACGGGAATGATAATTGACGTTTTCCATGTTTCAGGAAAGAATCTGGGAGATCACTGGATGGAATAGCCTATCAAGCCGAAAACACATATAGAGACATTTAGACGGACAGGATTTCATTAGCTATTTTGAGCTTTCATTCACTTCTCTCATCTGTTATGTTTTTATGGCTGAATTCTGCGTGTACCAGCATATACTGTTTGTCGTGTGACAAATATGTGACGTATACCCGCGTGCCGAACGTGATTAGTGTGATCAGAATGTTTAGATAGGAACGGATTACTCCTTAGAATGCCAAGAAATGACCAAATTGAGGAAGTGAAATGGACGCTAAATGAAGATTCAGAGGTTTGAGTATTAATTATGCCAGGTTGTTTGAGGGTATCAAAGAGCATATGATGTTTGAACTCCAACGAGGGACCAACAGTTGAATAGAGCCTAGTCGCATTAGTGGACACTTGAACATTTGCTTGAATGAATCCTCCTAAGGACGTGGCCGGAGTCTGTGTCAGAGGGCATGTTATTTCGCCAGAACATTCTGGTGGTGGTGATTTTTGCAACTCATAACGAATACAATGTAGGTTTGAGGCGGTGATTATTTGGTGTTGAAATTAAGCTCATTTCCGTCCCTGTACCATGGGTGTAAAGGTGACTTGATTGTGACTTGTCAGCGACAGTCGTCCCCGTTACTGACTGACCTTCTTGCCTGACTGGTGCGGTCGTTGACGAGATTTGCATGATTAGTATCACTTCCGCACATTTAGCAATCGAGTAGGAGAGTATCAACATCAGAGTTGCAGCTATCGATCCCGAGTCAGAAGTTATTAACGTCGATATGGAGAATTTCAGGCTGAGGGCGGACGGTCAAGGTCAACGCGCTCGGCACCATTTTAAAAAGATAAGTGGAAGTCATATTTTTGAAATCGATT